GATCCAGAGAATTTCTGCACTGCAGTATCTGGGTGGAGAATCCTGACATGCCAGTTAGGTGATCCCACGGAATATGTTATGCAAATCTATTGGGTTGCTTCATTTATCCTTATTCTTAATGCCTTGCTCAATGACTGAGAGAAGATTAGCAAACTCTCCAACTGTACTGTGGATTTGTTTCCGCTTCGTTAGATTTTGTTGTGTTCTGAAGCTGCACTGCCACGTCACATGCCCACCGTGGGCTGGAGGGGCCCTTTAGTACGGAACGCTCCTCCTCAACTCAGTTAACAGATCTTGTCTTCCATCTGCTCTGACTGACATCAAGGAGCCATTTCTGTTTGCTTATGATAGTATATTCACAATGCTTTCTCTTCCATTCTTTCACCCGTCTCTGGTTCATTCAGAGTGTTCACATGAACACATGTAGCAGATTTTCAAAAATCCAGTCTGAAAGTCACGGAATTTAACTGGAATGTTTAGGTCATTTTCCTAACTATCATTCTATATTATATAATCATTGACAGAGTTGTTTTCATGCCTCTTATCATACAATATTTTTTTTATTTCATCTATACTTTGTTCTTAGGTCACTCTTACCCTAATTTCTTAAATTAAATTAAGTATTCTAGTTTATCTTCTTTCTTGGCTACTTAGCTACACGATTTGCCTATTTGCTATGGCTTTTCTGTTGATAGTTACTCAGCGCATGACAAAGTATATCCTTATCACAAGGGGACATGGGATGAATCAGCCGTGTTTACATTTTTAAAAGTTAAAACAGTGACAGGACATAATTCCATCCATACCCTCAGTTAGAAACCTTCGTCTTGTGGCTACCCAGCAGCACTCTAGAAGTCCTCTTTTGTGAGCATCTTCAGTTGAGCTATCGTCATTGCTTCTGTGCTCAGAATCAACTCAAAACGTTTACCTTTGGGTCATTTTGATGTCAAGGAAGAGCCAGAAGTTACACAGTGCCAGATTTGGCCAATAAGATGGATGTGGACACACTAATGTTTTTATAAGCCTTCCTTTCTACTGGCTTGTACTCAGCAGCAGCATTTATTATATTTTTTAATCATACCTCATAAGACAGTTATTAATGAGGATATCCAGAACTGATTCAGAAAATGGCAAGAGCCCAATGTGGTGGTACATGCCTATAACCCCAGAAATTGGGAGGCCGAGGCAGGAGACTGCCACAAATTGAGCCCACTTAAATCTCTACTGTATTTTTTCTCAAGACAGTAGAGTTCTTACGTTTAGAGATGACTCACTTGTTTATTTACTATGTTGTAACATCCTTGCAAACACATTTCAACATCTATTGTGTTTGGGTTTGCTCTGCTTGACCTTCCTTTCCTTAGGTATGTGTCATTTTCCTGCCTCTTGTCTGTCTGGTAGTATTTGTTCAGCTGGTAGGTATCAACTTTGTAGAGCATAGATTTTGTGGCCTTCCTCCGCGGGTGATTTTCTTTTGGCAGGCAATTTATTTACTGAAGGATCCCTTTGAGGTTGGTATGGGCACAGTTTCGACCGTTCTAAACCAGCCATCAGGCAGGAGCCGGAGTAGCGCTGCTCCTGAGGCGCGGCTCTGGCACAGTCACCCGAATGCCTGGGATGCTCAGCACGGCTGGCTGAAATGCCAGTGCTTCCCAGCACTAAGCACTTTCTGGAAGCTCCGTTTATCTCACGACCTTCACATAGTTATCCTTCACCAGAGTTTGCAGAGTCTTGCTCTGCACAAATGCCCCTCAATTCCAGTCAAGGAAGCTCCTGCTTGCATTTCTGGAGCTGCTTCCCTCAGTAGTTCCCTACTCTCCAGTTCCCCATGCAGCTGTCTCACAGTGAAAAATGCCAATTTCTCTTTCCTCTTCCACTTTCTGACCTCCATTTCCTTTTGCTGTTATTTGGGAAGCGTTCAGGGAAACTGCGGAGAATCTGAAGTCTATGTCTCAGTTACTCTTCCTTCAAGACCTAAGTCCAATGCCAAAAAAACTAGTACTTTGACTCTATTTCTAGTTTTATGGCTCTTAGTGGTACATGAGTGCAAAGTCTGATGCTCATGATTCAGATCAGAACCAGAGTGCCGAGTCCTCAATCACCTTGGTGCTGTTGGCGCAGAGAGCTTATGCGGTCCACTTTGATTGGGACTCCTTGTAGCTCCCAGCTTTTACCCCAAGACTTACGCCATCTGCATGCTTCCCACCAGGCGTACGCGCACACTGAACAGGAATACGCCTGATGTGACCAAACAATATGAGGGATGCTTAATTTTTTTAAAAGAAATTATTACTGCAAAAGACACACTGCAAAAGCCATTAATCCCCTTCCAAATAGTCCCCCCTTGCTTTGAACACACTTATTCCACCCCTTGTCTCTTTCTGAAGCAGCTCTGGAACTCGTTTTTTGTGTCTTCAGGTATGGTCTTCTGGCTCCCCTGATGACCTGAACCCATTTAAAACGTCCACCTTTCATGGTCATTTTGATTTTGAGATCCATGAGTCATCTGGGGCCAGGCCCAGTGAATACAGTGTACGAAGACAAGCATAATGTTTTTACAAGCCAGTCTCTCCATTAGTTGGCCTCGACAGCGGCATTCGCTATACTTTTTATTGGACTTCATAAAGACAGTCATTAAAGACTTCTAGAACTGCCTCAGAAAGTGGCAAGATGAGTAAGATGTGTTGGAAGTGAGAGGGAGGATTCTGAGGAGGAGTAATGCCAGTGTCTTTACTGTAATAACTTTTTTTTTTATCTCAGAACTGAAAAACTTATTTCCAGATTGATAAGGCCCCAAAAGAGGTTGGCATATGAGAAAAACAAGGCTGAGGGTAAGGCAGATTACACTAAAATTTCAACATATCTCAAAGGAGGAAGAAACAAGTGAGACCCCAAAGCTGCTGGTACACGCTGATATTCCCAGCATGTGGGAGGCTGAGGCAGGAGGACCACAAACTCCAACCTGCCCTGGGCAATTCAGTGACTTAACAAGACCTACTGCAATAAAATTTTATAAATTAAACACTCACTGTATGTTTGTACGACACCTGCAATGCAAGCACCGGCTGAAGGCATATTGGGCTTGCCTCCTACACACGCTACAAAGATGCCGCAGGCGTCCCCCACTTCCACCTCCTTGCGTGCCACATTCTCCACCTACAGCCTCGCTCCACTGACCGTCTCTCTGCTCCTGCTGGTCCTTCCCAATCAGCCCGATCCTCTCGCCTACTGGCACTCTGGTTTTGTGCTCCCATCGCAGCCTGAACTTTCCCCACAATGCTACAGAACTGACTGTACGACAGCCTGCGCCCGAGCAGGAGCTGTATTTGCCTGCTGAATCCTGAGCTACACGGCTGCAGTGTGGGGATTATCCTGCGGGGCTATCATAAACATTACTCACCTTCTGTTACACCACTTATGAAAATGCCAACGAAAGATCTGGGACAGTAAAAAGACTAGACAAACCTGCTCTGACAATACCCGAAGGGAACTTATCTGAAATTCTATTCGAATAATTACTAACCTGGCTACCCAGACTTCGCTTATACTGCTCCAGGTGTCCTGAATGACCCTCTAATTATGTGGCCACCCCGGACATGTTTTCACTTTGCATTTGGCCCTCCTTGCCATTCTCGGCTACCCTTACCAACTGACCCGTGTGTACTTTTGGTACTAAGTAATTACTAAAGCCTTATAAATGTTCTATCTTGAAGAAACACATTTTGTTACATATTCATAAGGCATATTTCCTGTAAAAATAAAAAAAAATTATAAAAACAGAATCAGGTTCCTACTCCTACAGGTATATTTGTGAGCAAAGATAATGCTATATATACACAGCAGAATTATGGCCTTATGTTGCTTCTGTGAGTCCAGGAGCAAAACCACAGGTGCGGTTCTTCTTCTCTCTCTCTCTCTCTTTTTTTTTAATGTATTTAGTATAGGGTCTACAGGGTCTCACTACAGACTCATAGTGATCCTCCTGTTTTCAGCCTCCCTAAGCGCTGGGATTACAGGCGCTTGCCACCACGCCCAGTCTCAGGTGTAGTTCTTCTGACCATGCAGGCTGTAAGGGGGTTCAAACTAAACATGGGGAAGCCTCTTTACTTATTACAGTAGCTGATGGCAAAGAAAACAGAGCATAAGACAGTGGCATACAGAAAGGCACAAACAGCCAGGTAGGCAGAGATCGAAGTGATACATATTCTTTCAAAGTGACAGATCCACATAGATTTCCAAACAGTAACTCCATGTAAAAAGGAACTCAAAATACATAATGCACATGCCTATGAAAGACAGTGTAACACTGCTATCCATCCAAGTGCTCAAAATGTAGTCAAAGTTTAAGAAGAGGGGCTGGGGAGATGGCTCAGTAGAATAAGCGCTTCCCTGGCAAGCACAAGGGCCTGAGTTCAATCCCCGGTTCCACCAAAAAAAAAAAAAAAAAAAAAAAAAAAGTTTAAGAAGAAAGATGAACTTTCTTTGGGAAGAGAAATAGTACCTAAAATCAAGTGAAAAAAATAACAGGAAACGGATCTGAAAGATATCCAGTAAAACATTGAAGCAGATGCCTTTAAGGTCCTTCTAATTGTTGAGATTCTACAAGATGTTAATTTGTATTTTGATCATTTTACAATACCTGCAAATTGACCTTCTTCCAGAGATTTAGTGATAAGCCAAGTAGTTCAAGCAGAAATATCCACCTTCATATAATCACATACCCCCTTAGAAAGAGGGTTGAGAAGGTGATGGGATGAAAAAAGAGTATCTAAAATAAATATATAAATGCGTACTGAACAAATCAAAAGGGAAGAAACATACGTAGAGGTACAGTCTCCAATCTTAGTGCCCGGGGCACACTGTTGGCACAGTGTACTATGCATGCCTCTTTCTTTCAATCTCTAGCTTGATGGACGTGTGCCAAGTTCAAGAAGGTACAATCAGGCAAGAATCCCATGAATTGAAAGGAAAATGACTACAATTATGAATTTACTTCTTACCATTGATGTCACCACCAAGGCTGGAGAAAAGCCCATTGTGAGATAGAAAAAGAGCTCAACCACTTTATACCTACAAGAACGGAAATAGTTAATTTAGTTTCTGTATTTAATACTTAGATCATTTACATGCCAGCTTTTCCTTTTTCATTTTGAAAAGGAAATACAAACTTTTTTTCTTTTTTGGGGGGAACCGGGGATTGAACTCAGGCCCTTGCGCTTGCCAGGGAAGTGCTTATTCCACTGAGCCATCTCCCCGGCCTCACAAACTTTTAACTGCTCAAATGAAACACATTTCTCAGTAAGAGACAACTACATCTCCTTGCCTAACATACCAGGATTGCATAACGGTGGGCTAGCATTTCTTCTAGAATTGAAAAGGCATGAAACTCCACATGCTACCTAGAAAATGTTTTCTGTGAAAAGGACTGTAGTTAAATTGAATTCAATTCATCCTCTGTCTTTCCCTTCCCAATCCTAGTGTGTTTGTCTTTACTGTCATTTCAATCCAGAGCTATAATCAAGTGAAACTGAAGACAGATGGAACTACAATGCAGGGTGTAGTTTGATCAGAGGTAAAGTACCAGCAGTCCTAGGGAGAGGACTGTCTTCATTTTGCATGTATACGGACTACTATGTCTAAGGATCATCACCTTCTGAAATACATGAAATAGAAGTAAATTCTACAAAACACATTGTATTAAAATTTTATGTGCATTTTTGACCAACTACAATAAAAGCCTCAAAGGCAGGGACCAAATTTTTCTTACAATTGGGTTTGCAGAGCCTATAGCAGTGCTGGGCACAACTGGTATTTCCTCACTTCTGCCAAACTAAATGGCCAGTGATGACTTACACTTCATTCTCTGTGTTTTATAGCCAAAACCTACCAAGAAGTGACATTAGGAGAAGAATGGGTTCAAGGGTGTGGTTTACACGAAAAGGATTGGAAGAAAGGAAACAGTGCCTTACTTCCCTTTTTATTTTTAGCCAAGGGTGTAATTTAGGGGTTTGAGTGCAAGAACCAAACTGCTTGCTTGAATTTATATATACGGCATAACCATTCAGCCTTGCCACTTTAAGATCGAAGAGGGTTTAGGTGAATCTCAAAATCAAAGTCAGTGAAAATTATCATTTTCTTCTGAAAGGAGAAAACAATACACTGACAAATACAAATTTTGAAAGTCACTCTGCCAACCGCAATAAAGAATTGAATAAAATGCAATCTAGTAAATATAATGACAATGACTTCATGGTTGTTAAGTTTCTCAAATTCAAGCCCATGAGATAATACAAAGCTACAGAATAGGGACCAGGACACTTGGACCCTGCTTTCCAGATGAGCCACTTGCCTGATGCCTAACCTGCATGTTCTAGAATTGACCCTGAAGGACCTCTAGAGCCAAGATGATACATTTCAATAAGCCTTTCTAAAAAATTACTTTAAAAATTACAAAACATTTATGAGAATGGCCTATTGTCCTCTAGGGTTAAGACAGTAAGGGTTTAGATGTCTTTTTCTATGGCCCTTTTCTCAGGGAAGCCTATTTGGAACATTCTAGTTTCTTAACTAGGTACATGTGCTGGACCCTTAAGATGTGTCCTCTTCAATCTTCGCACTGAAAAGATTATTTTTCCCATGTAATACTAAATCTCAGAAGACAAGGCTAGTTTGCCTCCAAAGGAGACACAAAGTCCTACTGACTCAAAATGACCAAGCTGTCCTGTCTCCTGTCTATGTTCTACCACACACATGCCTGCCACACTGTCCGGCAGCAATCTGTCCACTAATGATGAATACCGAATGGATCCAATGATTTATTTAAAATATTTATTCTATTTATGTATTTCTACTATTTCAAAGAGGAAACAGGAAATTAGATTTTGGAAACATAAAATTTAGGCAGTGAATTTTAAAAGTACCAAATGTAAATTATTTTGTTCTTACTTTTCATGGTAGAGAAATACATAAATGGTTCCTCCAGCTGCCATGAGCCAGATAAACCAACGCATATGAGCTGCCAGTGGTCCAAGTTCTCGGAGATTTAACCTACAAATGAAAACATGACAACAAAGAACAGAAGGGATAAATGAAGGGAATTCGCATTCGTTATGTTTTCCTCTGATCCCTGAAAACTAAGAAAACGCTCAAAGAGAAGCAGAAAGAAAAGGCACTCAATATACAACATAGAAATTTGGGGAAAATTCATAACTCAAAGAAAAAATTGTCAGCCGACCTTTAAACTTAGAATTAGTTCCAGGATGGTTCAAAAACAATTTTCTTTTATGTATTTGGTACAGGTCTCACTACACAGATCGGACTTGTAGTGGTCCTCCTGTTTTCAGCCTCCTCAGCACTGGGATTATAGGCATGTGCCACCATATCCAGACTCGGTGGTCACCTCAGCGCACCTGGGGGCAGGGCCACCATGGCATACAGTACTAGAGATTGAACCCTGGTCCCTGCACTTGCCTAAGCAGGCACTTAGTCAGCTGAGCTATGTCACTGGCCCTGGTTCAAAAACAGAACAAGCAAAAACCAGACATGCAGAAGTGAGCCCCAGTACACCTGTCATGCCCAACTTTTCCCTGGCAAGGCAGAGAGGTAAAGGCTGCTTGCCCTTCCATCCTGACCACGCATTTGGGAGCAGACTGCTTAAGCAGCTGCAGGAGAACACTGAAAAACAGCCTGAGTCAGGATCACGTACTCAGGATGATACAAGACCACACGCTCCCACTACCAAGCTCTCAGCCAAGATGGAACATGGGAATTAGCCCAGCATGTGTGAGGGCAGTTGTGAGAATTTAAATATGGATTTTTGTAAGGTCTAAATTTTAAATGCTACAAATTCACATATGTTAATGTCCTAACACAAATAAATACAGAGGAAGAATCCCAAATGTTCTGATTAGCTGTTACTACAAATTAATAATCCCAAATGGAAAAGGTACTACTTGCATGTGAACAAATTGCCTACTTTGATATTTGATTCCTCAGCTCAACTTAAATATTTTTATTACTTATTTGCTTATTTTAAATTGAAGTATACTTCACAAAAGCTTTTAAGCATTCTTGCCCGGATATGAATCAGACCTATAATTTAGTAAGACATATTGAGGCAAGCTAGCACATATTTTTTATTCTAACAGATAATTATGTTTTCTTTTGAATCAGGCTGTCTGCTGTTTTGAATGACTATAGCAGGTGATGGCATAATATAAACTTCTCAGTGTTTGAAACTGGACCATCTCTTGACAAAAGAAAACTAATTTTTCTTTAGGTTTCAATTAACATAAGGCTATATTCAAAAGATATTCAAATTACCCTCAAAAGGCCAAAGAAAATGAGCAGAGTACTAAGTTAACAAGTTTGGTTAGTTATCTTAATTCAGCTAAATAAAATAGAAATATGCCAGTGCACAGTAGCTACTGTGCTGTAAAGAGAGAAGACAAAGTATAAATTTCAAAAGGACGTTTCCTTTCCTCATACTGCATACATTCACTGAATTTCCCCAATTTCTACATATTCTGAAAAGCAGATTTGGATGGAGGGAGTATTGGGAGCTGGAGAGACAAGGGTACAGTTCAAAAGGAAAATGCTACCCGAAGCCCAGTGAACAGATTTCCTCTGAATTCAGGGGCCAGATATTTACTCCAAAGTGTTTCTCCCTCCAAATGTAAACCTGACCCAAGGAAGTCACGCTAGGGGAAAACACATGTATGTGTGTGTCTGAGAGGGGCTGGGAGTAGGGCAGGAGTGTGGGGAGGGAAGAAGGGACGAGGACTTAAGGGCTTCTTCAAGAACAAAAACATCTTATCTTACCATGGAGCGTAAGAAGCAGCAATGAAAAAATAAATAACCATCCTATCACACATGTGAAAACAATGCTCCACAGTCCTGGGGAAGAGGGGGGAGAAGACAAGTTAGATAAATTACTTAAACAGTTCTTCAGACCAGAAGTATGGGCTAGCAGTACCCGCGATGTTGCAATCTCCATTCCTATTTGGTTTCTCACGGCATTTATAGCTTGCCCTTCAAAGCCACATTGTTTGTTTTTAATGATACGAAGCCACAAGTAAATGCTTCCTATTATTTTTAGGCTGTACACACAGCAGATGCTCTGATAGTTAGGAAGCCTAAGGTGGTTGAAGCAAAAGAAAAGTCTCTTTCTGACATTTTCCATTTCTTTTACAGCCTGTCTAATGAAATGCCTTGAGGGAACAGCATCTCCAAGGTTCTACCGCAGGGCCGGGCGCAAAGTACTGATGCTCCGTAACAATCCTAAACATGGTCACAGTCTTCAAGTCTTTTCAGAGCATCTTTAAAAGACCCTTTTACTTTACATAGTCTAGTGCAGACAGTGAGTTGTAACGAAAGAAATTCAGTAATGTAGGAATAGCGAAATAAACCGGAAGATGCATTTGCTGCCAACAGGGTACCACTCCCTTCTTCTAAAACCAAAAAGTCAGCAAGTGTGGGGAGAAAAATATGAGTCTCTGATCTGCTTTGTTTTATTTTGTTTTATTTGGCAGAACCGGGGATTGAACTCAGGCCCTTATGTTTACCAGGCAAGCACTTATTCTACTGAGCCATCTTCCTGGCCCTATGAGTCTCTGAGATTGCTTCAAAAACTGGGCTGGGCACAAGTGCCCCTCACTCATGTGATCAAGAGGTACACAGCATCCTCTAGCTTCTCTTTTCACTGTCCAATTCACCGCAGCTATGATGTGATGGGGTGGCAGTTACTAGGCCTGGCCTCACCGCACACACGCTCCGAGTGTTGGCCAGAGCAGACAGAGGAGGACTTGTGTTCGGAAAGAAGTAAAAAGTACACTTGGGAGAAAAAGGGTTTTAATCCAGAAGCTACAGCTTACCCCTCGATAATAACTCAGGTCTAGGTCTGAAGACCTAGAATTTTCTTGAAGCTCTGTCATATACCTGTCTGAGTTTTATTTTCTTTACAAGTAAAGTGGAACTCTTTCCCTAGAGCGTGCAGAACGTTAAGTGTGATACTGCAGACTATGAGTTTAGCACAGAATTTCGCACATAACAAACACCATTTCCTTTCATGTACTTGAGGTTTTAGGTGAATACTTAAAAAGCTTAATGCAGAGCCAAACTCGCCGTGTGGCTCAGGGTTCTGGAAGCACCGTTTCAAGGATCGGAGTCTGGTTTCCATTGCACCCGCTCCAGCCCCTGGCAGGGAGGGCCTGAACACTCCAGTAAGCATCTACAACTCTTATTGATTCAGAAATCTAGACATCAAGGCTGAGCCTGCCGAGGCAACCACAAGCGTCACACTGTGCCAAAAAGATAATGAAGTGCTCTGCTTCCTGGCTGGCCCCTGGCCTCTGGGACAGCATGCCCGGAGCAGCCAGGTGCTCCTGTGGCTCTCCTGTGTGCGTGTCCCCAAGTGCCCTTGCCATTCAGCGCTGTGGTTTTATCTTTAGCTCAGGGAACTATCACCTTATAGGAAAGGGGAGCCAACTGTAAATCATACGCAGGCTCATGAAGGGCATGGTAGAAAGAACACACAGGGTGAGGAGCCAGGGATCTTGGGAAGATCCAGTACTGCAGGTCTCACTGACTTAGGCAAGGCAGGCCACTTGTCTGCGCCTCAGTTTCCTCAACAAAAAGCCAAAGTCTGGCTTATATGATCTCTTGGATTAAATGACTTCTGTCCAGCTCTGAAGCTCTGATTCGACATATGATGAAACCAGGACTCCTCAGTTCCACATCCTGCTTTAAACTAAGCATATCTTTTAAAAAGGAGAATTTATGATTATTCTTGGACATTCTCCAAAATCAAAAGGTATTTTTGAAAATGACAAATCACTCTTCGTTGGCTCTGAATCCTCCTGTTTTGGGGAAGAACTTCCACCCTTTGGGGTTTAACCTACTAAATTAACTGCAGAATCTATTTCACATGCAACCCATTCTGACCAAATGGTGTGGGGCTTCCTCTGTACTCTCCCAAATGAACCCTTCACTCAGAGGAGGAACGCTCTGATGTCCTTACTGTCGGCAGGCCAAGGGCCACAGCACTATTTGGGAGGTGCCTTATAATCAGTACTTGCAAAATAATATTAATGTGTTTGAATAACAGACACAGAACTTCATTATGAAAGTTCAACCTCACAAACAGAAATAGCAGCTCACCTCCTCACATCCTATAATCCTACAGTCGTCTATCATTTTTATAGTTTTCCCATACATTATCTAAGTTGCCTATCACAATAATGCTGTGAGTCAGACATCAGTAAGAAAGAAAGTGAGGCTCCTGGGAGACGACAGGTGACTTACCCAAGGTTAAGCAGCAGGACGGAGGCCTAAAGGCCCCCTGCTGACTCCAAGCTCAGTACTTTGCCACTAATCCACAGCTACTGTTCTCATATCCTTAGCACACTTGAGAACTGGAACACAGCTCTCAAGATTTCAAATTTTAGGGGCTGGGGAGATGGCTCAGTGGAAGAAGCACTTCTCTGGCAAGCGCAAGGGCCTGAGTTCAATCCTCAGTTCCACCAAAAATTAAATAAATAAATAAATAAATAAATAAATAAAAAGATTTCAAATTTTAAGCTCTGGGGAACCACTAGGGTGTTGGCTGCTGGCTAGAGGCCGGCGTTCCTAGATGCATATGTTAAGAGGAGTCCACCACAGTCCATCCAACCCGAAGAAAGTGCCCAGGACTATGGGAGAGCATCAAAACAACAAGGCAGGAAAATGTCCATTTTCTGTCCTACCTGACTAAAATACATCAGTGTAGGAGACCTACACTGAGTCAGCTATTCTGATCCATTGGGGCAGCCGGCCATCCACTGTACCTTAAGTGGCTCTTTTTCCACGACACAATGTGAAACACCGTGGAGACGATGAAGAGGGCACAGAGCCCCATTCCATAAATCCATGCTGTTATCTTTTCCCAGCAGTCATCGGACAGCCGATGGAGGAGGGCGCTGCCCACAATGGCCGGAACAATGAGGAACTGAGGGAAAGGTAAAGAGAAACAAGCGTCTGGCTTTTATGGAGAAGACAACTGTTTTCTAAATATGTAGAGGTTTACCAAAAACAATAGGAACAAAATCATTTTAAGCCATACATCTGCCTTTCTTGAATAATCAATCAGGAAGAGAGGTGGATGAAGCTGTAGCTGCTGCCCCAGAAGCAGGTACTGTCTGTCACTCAGGGCCACTGCAGCGCAGCCAAGGGACACACCAACAGGCAGATGCAACGTTGCTCAACTGTTGCAAAACAGATGTTCTTTATCCTAATTTCCCTGACCAAGGGCGCATTTCACTCTAATCTGATTTAGAATACGAATTTCAAATAATCAAGTATCAAGCACATATTTGGATTTCCCAGTGAGATCCTCATTTTAAAATATTCTGTCCTATTACCCTCATTGGCTACTGAAATTCCAATACTTCAAGAAGAATGAATAAATCCTGTCAAGGACTAAGGTAATGAATTTGATAACCCCACCAATACACACACACAATTATCTAAGACATGCCCTGATTTTTAGTTTGGATCTTTTCATTCTATTAATTTGAGAGCTACTTTCAGCGTAAAAACATTTTGGGATTATTAAATTTTTAGTAGTAACTTTTAGGTATGCAAGAGCAATCCACTCTTAAGGTCCACCTATTCAATATACTAGAAATTTAAAGAAAATTTTTGTTATCTAGTCTATAGATGGACGCAAATATATGCTACATATTAGGACACAAATTCAATGTCTAACCATATAAATATGACTATGACAAGTAAATATTTTATAATATAGAAATTCTCCAGGAGAACGACTATCTTATTAGATGTTAAAATACATATGCCTGGCAAAGAATGAAAATTTTAGCAACATTTTTTCTTTTTTTGGTCCCCCAACATCTCTTTTACTTTCTTGCATGGGATATTAAATTTCCCTGATAAAACAAGACAAATTGCTGAATTCCAAAGTTTTCAATGGCCCAGAATGATAAGAGAAGAGTAAGGATAATAATGTAAGTTTCTTCTGAAACAAAACTTATTTATTTTAAGGAAATGTTTCTGGGGCTGGGGGAGATAGCTCAGTAGAATAAGTGCTTGCCTGGCAAGTGCAGGGTCCTGAGTTCAATCCCTGGCACAGCAAAAAAAAAAAAGGAAGAAAACAAATGTTTTGAAATTATGTCCTTTCTACTTTATGTTAAGGCT